TTCAAAAGTATGACTACCACTGATTGGTGGTACCCTATCCTCATTACTATTTTCTGTGAAAATTCCTTTACTTCATGTAACATCACAATGTTTTTTGACGAGGTTTTTACTGCATTAGTAAAAATTGAACTGAGAAACATTGTTAAAGTTGTCTTGTAACCTTAATAAATAAAGAAAAACAAAAACATTCAATGGATTCAACGGCATCTGCGTAAGAATCAAAAGAAATAGGTGATGCAATTTCTATGTCAGCGACTGTATACATAACATATTGCATTAATAACATACTACAATATATTACATTAATAACATGTTACAATATATACAATTAATAACATTTTCTGCTTACGGTTCGACATTCGTCAACTAGATGGTCATAATTGGGAAATGTTAAGCGTTGCCTACTATAAATCACTTTGCCGTATTATGTTACTGTTTTACCATTATTTTTTCTCTAGCACAACTGACGTAATCTTTTATTTTATCATGTTTAGTCTTTTTTATTATTGCATCATATTATTATTATTATTTGTATTTAGCCATTACTTGCTTCTTTTAAATGTTATTCATTATATTTCAGCTGCCTTTCATCATATTTCTCTATTTCCTATCCAACATGACTAGTATCCTGACCTCTTGTCATGTTAATTCCTAATCCTTACCAGCCCATTTCGACGAATCTCAGCAATATTTTACCTGCAATTTTTACCATACTATTGCAGTTTCTGAAACATGGCTAAAACCCCACATATCTTCCTCTTCCGTTTCTTTACCCGATCAAACCTTTATCCACCATGACCGGATTACACAAACAGGTGGTGGTGTGGGTCTTTACGTCCATAATAGCCTAAAATCCCGAACCCTAGATATCTCACCCCCTTCCAAATGTCCCCACATGGAATACCTTTTTGTTGAAATTTCCTTTTGAAAAAAGGAAATTTCCTGTTGAAAAAAGCCCATCTTCTCCTATACGTTGTAGTATACCGCCCTCCTCTGGTACCTTTCGACCCATCCTTCGAATCAACCCTATACAAATTTATCCCATTTTGCAGTAACATAATAGTTTCCGGTGACTTTAACGCCAATCTCCTTTCCGATTCCCACGATAAACACTACCTGGAAAACCTTTTCTACTCCCTTAACCTCTTTATTGTGCCATTTGCTCCTACTCATCACACTTGCTGGTCTGATACATGGCTGGACCTGTTTATCATCGATTCTGCGCAGAACCTTTTGTCCTCGTCCCAACAACCTGTTCCTTTCCTGTCTTCACATGACCTCATCCAACTATCATACAATATCAAGACCCCTGCGATCCTTCCTAAAACCATAACCTTCCGCAATATAAATTCCCTAATCCGTGAAAGCATCTTACCCGATATTGAAACCCTGAATTGGAACGATGTTTACACCAGCTCCTCAATTGATACCATGGTAGATATCCTGACTTCTAATCTCCTCCATATTCTCAATACCCATGCCCCACTTAAAACCTCTACATTCCGCCGCCAACCTGCTCCTTGGATGCGTCAAGAAATTCGAAATATGCAAAAGAGACGTGAGGCAGCCCGTTGACGCTTTAGAAGATTAGGTACTCCGTAACTTGACGCAAACAACGATCAGGCAAGCGAAAACCAATTACTTTCATGAAGCCTTCTCCTCAGCTCCCGATTCTAAATCCAAATGGCATTTACTCCGAAAACTATCTCTTTGCAAATCATCTTCTTCCATAGCTGTCCCAGTCTCTCCTGATGCCTTAAATTCCTACTTTTTGTCCTCCTCCTCTAGTAATATTTCTCCCGCCTCTTCTTATATTCCTATATCATCTGCATTTAATAGTGATAATTTTTATTTTTCTGACATCACTCCTACGAACCTTATTTCCTCCATAATGAAATCCCAATTCAACTCTACAGGAATTGACGGAATACCTGTCAAACTGTTAAAATTATGCCTCCCTGAAATCCTTCCAGTTCTTCTATTCATTTATAACTTTTCCCTTCAAAATTCAGTTTTTCCTACATCCTGGAAAAAAGCCTTAGTCCGTCCTATTAACAAAATCCCTAACCCCTCCTCTCCTAAAGACTATCGTCCAATCTCCATCCTCTCAAATCTGTCAAAACTCCTCGAAAGAATAGTCCAATCCCAAATTTCCAATTACCTCGAAGAGTTCAAACTTTTAGATCCTCTCCAATCTGGCTTTCGCCCAGGCTTCTCCACTCAATCCGCTTTAGCTAAAATCACAAATGACATACATACTGCAATTGACGAAAGAAAACTGACTGTATTAGTACTTCTGGACTTCTCCAAAGCATTCGACTCCTTAGACCATTCTATTCTCTTCAATAAATTAAAATCTCTATCCTTTTCCAATAGTTCTATCCAATGGTTCCAATCCTTTCTTTCTGACAGGACTCAAGCCGTTAGTATTCCGAATCAACCCTTATCTTCTTTCCTCTCTTTGTCTCATGGAGTAGCCCAGGGTTCAAGCATTTCTCCTATCCTTTTTAATTCTTACATCAATGACTTTCCTAGTTCAATCCACCATTGTTCATACCATCTATATGCTGATGACTCCCAAATTTATTTTTCCTTTCTGCCCACTGAGTTATTAGAAGCGTTTACGAATATTCAGAGAGACCTAGACAGGATAAGTGCCTGGGCAAGCTTGAATAAATTAAAGTTGAATGCAACGAAAACTCAGGCCATTCTTATAGGTTCCAACTCCCTCCTTAGATCCATTTCCACCCATCCTTCCTTGAATATTAATGACCAACCAATATCCTTCACCTCCTTTGTAAAAAACTTAGGAATTACCATTGATCAAAACCTATCATGGAAACCCCATATTGCTCCAATCTCCAGAAGGTCAATTGGTACTCTTAAATTATTTCATCGTTCTCGTCAGCATCTCCCACAACCTATCCGCAGGCTCCTCGTTTCCTCATTGATTTTCCCCTACTTTGACTATGGCTGTGTGGTATACGGTGGCCTCTCGTTGGAGCTTGAGGACAGACTGAAGAGAATCATGAACTGTTTTTTAAGATTCGTCTTCGGCACTTCGAGATGGTCTCATGTGTCCCACCTATATGCCGAGTCAAGGTGGCTCTTCCCCTCTTCCCGCCGCCTATACTTCCTTGGAAATTTCTTATACCAAACGATCAACTCCCAGCACCCTTCCTATATCTGTTGTCTCCTCCAGCCTAAACCCTTAGTCCACTCAATAAAAACGAGATCCCGTGTTTCTGCCCTCTATATTCCATTCCACAGGACAAAAACCTATGAACGTTCCTTCTTAGCCCGTTCCGTCTCCTACTGGAATTCTTTGCCACATAACATCCGTCATGCCTCTTCCCTGTCAACTTTCAAATACCTCCTTTTCCAATATCTCCTTACATCCCAAACAGAAGATTTACCACCATAAATTTCATTTTATGAACTGAATTTGCGTGAAGTAAATAGTGGTGCCTACTGTTTAAGTTTCAACATAAAACAGCAATGATCTTTGTCACCTAGTTTGACTATTATTTTTACTATTTATGTATTTTTCTCTTCTCCTTAGGTTGTGCTTTTTCTTTCGGGTATATATGCTTATATTTTATATTTTTGTCTTTATGTGTGCCAATATGAGAATGTACGTATAAATAGTTCCTTTTATTTATTTTACTTATTTTTTTTTTTTCCATTACACCACAAGTATCCTAAGATTTTATTTTATCTTAGTGTCTGCATATTATTATATAAACCACTGTAGATATTATTACATTTTGTATTAAGTTAGTTTTCTATTAGATAGACTATTGTTTATAAATTGTGTGGTTATGTATATATAAATATGTAATTTCTCTTCTTTTTTTTTTTTTTTCATCACAATTAAGTAATTTTAAGAAGATTTTATGTTCATTTGTATATATATTTTATTTTTTATTTTTCACTGGTTACATACTTTTTAAATAATTTATATAATATTAAAATTTTTATAAGTTAGTTTTTGGCCAGATTTGTACTTTACTTTGTATTAACTCATCATTGTTATTCTAAAGGGACTTAGTCCCAGAATAAAGTTTAATTTTCTATTCTAATATTATTTTGCATTAAAACATGGATTGATAATGTTTAAAAAGTGGATTATACTTGCCTTAAAATTACATAAAATGTGAAACCCATAGTGTTGACGCCACAGCCTTAATTTCTTTTATTTTCTTATTTAAAAAAAAAAATGTATTTAACTGATGATTTGGTTTATTTCATCAAAATTAATTGATTGAAATAAACCATTGTTTTTTCTTTCTTTATTATTATATTTAATTATTGAAAATAAATGCTTAACCAAAATATTACAGTCCACTATTTTGTTATATACTTTTTCTTTTTTTTTACCAACCATTTTTGTTAGCTTCATTCAAAGTTTAATTTAAACCCAGAGGAAACGTCACACATAGTTTGTAACGTGTACATAAAATGTGTAACCCATAGTTTGTAATGTGTACATAAAATGTGTAACCCATAGTTTGTAACGTGTACATAAAATGTGTAACCCATAGTTTGTAACGTGTACATAAAATGTGTAACCCATAGTTTGTAACATGCACATGGATAGAGAAATTGGGTAATTAAATTATAATTAATATACTATTTATAATATTGACCTCAAATAAATAGGTCATGTAGAGGACACACAAGTGCATCACATTTGAGGAAATTTCCCAATTCCTAGAACTAGAGTTTATGTGACAAAGAACAATTAATAATTTTGAAAAACTCACCTATTTCTTTAACCAATTATTGTTTGGGCTGCTTCGAATGATAAGAATTCTGTGATGTTATAAATGTTGCTGTACTATGTACAACTTTATCAATACAGAATTGTTATTAAATGTTAAATTTGTTTATATCTATGCCTTTAGAATATTTGTTCAGGAAATTATCATTTTTATTGTATTTATATATATACATATATATATCATTTCCTAATTTATCTGTTTATTTATGTATTTTAGAATCAAAGTGTACTGGGAATAAGTGAAGATGAATTTATTCTTTGGGTTAAGAAAGAACCTCAGTTCTTAGTATGGCTGTCCACCTTTCATAGGCTGAGTATTTCACTAAATGGTAAGTGTTTTTTGTGCCAATCTTTAATTTTAATCACAGTTTTGAATTTTTTTTCAGTGCAATATATATGTGGATGAATATACAAAATCATTCAAATGTGTCGTCCCTTTGATTATAAATTAACAAATAAGTGTCAATTATGACTTTTAATCTTATAATGCCTCTTAGTTATTAATTGATCCATTCTTATATATATAGAGTGAAATGTGTGGCCAAAATGGACTTTGTTCTTATAACAGTCATGTTCAATGAATTTTAATTGAATTTTGGCTGTCACTAAAGCTCCGTATTGTTATTTATCATTTAAGACATAGCTTCTTAAACTGTTTTTCATGGACCTCTTATTGGGTCCATGTAACCCATGTAACCATCATTGGAGCGCTGCAGAACTGTTATGATATTTTTTTTTTATTTCTTAATGGCATTTACAACTGTATTAAATAAATACATCTAGCAAATTTGAACATAATGGGTATAATGACATGAAAACACTTGCTAAGTAACTACCCAATGGTAGCACTCTGATGATATGTTTACATTAGGAGATCACGGGGCCATCTTCTTTTCAGACGCCTCGGAGGGTTATCAGGAATTGAAGAGGAAGCAAGGTTAGAAACGAGAGGGTTGGGATGATTCTGAAGTTTATTATGGAAGGATAGGTATCTGGATTGGGCCAGATCTGAAACAAAAGAAACATTAAGGCCATTGTGGATGGTTTTATTTGTAACAAAGTAGGAAGCATTGAGGATTTTACGAAGGATTTTGGATTGTAAGGATTTGATACAAGAGGAATTTGATGGTTTAGTGAAGCCCCATAGCTCAACTCCGTAAGTCCAAATAGGCCTTATTATAGTCAAGTATATGAGTCTTTTGTAGTTTATTGGAAGTTTAGAGCGTTTGTCTAGTAGGTACTGAAGTAATTGGAAACGTCAAGCGGTTTCTTGTCTTTTCAGTCTAGTATGAGGATTCCAAGTTAGTCGTTTGTCCAAATGGAGTCCTAGGTATCGGATTTTCTCAACAGGAATAAGTGGAGTATTGTTAAATGAAACTGTAGGACAGGAAGTCGTTGGTTTACGACGGAGGGTAAAGGTAATTTGGTGGGATTTGTTGGAGTTTATTTTAATTCTCCAGTTTTGACAGCATTCTTCAAGATTTATGATGTGTGATTGAAGCATTTGGGATGCAATTGATGAGTCATTATTTATTGATAGGATACATGTGTCATCGGTATATGTGGTGATGACAGTGTTGGGATAGGTATGGAAGTCTGCTGTATAAACTTTATAGAGGATAGGACCTAGGATACTACCTTGAGGAACACCAGCGGACTGGGAAAAAAGGGATGAATAGGCGTTTTTGTGATTTACTTTAAAGTATCTATCAGTAAGATAGGAACAGATAATGAGGAAGTATGTAGGTGGTAGGAATTTTCGGAGTTTGTACAGCAGTCCGGGATGCCAAACTCTATCAAACGCCTGTTCAACGTCGAGAAAGACTCCCGTACAGTACATTCCACGCTCCAATGCAGAGGAGACTACGTCTACCACACGATGACATTACTGAATAGTGGAATGGGAAGTGCGTAATCCAAATTGGTGATCTGGGATTATGTGTTTAGAATTTAGGGATGGGTACTGGCATTTTAAGATGAGTTTTTCTAGGATTTTGCCCATGAATATGCTGTGGCAAGTTAATATGTCGTGAGTTATTTCTTTTATTGATGGAAGTGTTATCATTTATAGTGGTTGTTATTGATGTGGTAAGTTTTTCTATGGCTATGTCAATATCTTGTTTTGTCTTAAGCGGAATTTTTAAGTCAAATTTATTTTCTAGATCATCGCGAAATTTGTCCCAGTCTACTCGTCCTGTAATCAAGTTAGGAAGTAAGGGTTTAGGAGCAAAGTTTGAATGTAGTAAAAGTAGAACTGGACTAGGATCTGATGAAAGGTCATCCAGGGATTTGATAATGGCTTGGGAGGAGGAAATCTGGGAGGTGATAAATATGTCCAGGATATCGGGACAATTTTTGAGGGATGTTGGAAAATAAGTAGGATTCATGGGCAAGAGGATGGAATAATTGTTTTAAGAAGAAACTCGTGAAAGGGTATTACCACGGGAGTTGGGTGATCGACAACCCCATTGTTGGTGTTTAGCATTGTAGTCTCCTCCAGCAATAAAGCGCTATCCGAGGGATTGTAATAAGGATTCAAGTAGGCTATACGAGAGGGAATTGCCAGGAGGACAGTATACAGCTGAAAGTGTTAGAAGGAAAGGACAAGTTGAGAGGATTACAGAAGTTGACTGAATGGCATCTGTTGGAATGGAAGGAATAAGGGAATGGGGTAAAGATTTATGGATAAGGATACAAGAACTGGCGTGGGCAGTGTTGTCTGGGTGGTCAGATCTATAGGTGATGTAGTCACGTATGTAAAAATGTGTCCGTTTGGTGAAGTGAGTTTCTGTTAGGAGGGCAATGTCAATATAATTGTCATGGAGAAATATGTCTAGTTCGTCACGGTGGTTTTGCAGTTCATTAGCATTCCATAAGAGAATAGCTAAGGACTTTGTGTTCATTGAGGGAAGTTAAGTGGGATTTCAGAAAGGAGTCTGGTTAGAAGGGTTATGAGCGGTTTGATAGTCTGCTGAAGATCTATCAGGAATGACGATAGGATAGTGTGCTATCCTTGATGTCAGATGGTGTTTGACTGGGAAGTGGATTTGGATCCGGAGGTTGTGATGGGTAAGTTATGCGACTAGGAATGTTGGGTGGGGGATGGGGATGGGCCCGTCGTGGGGTGCGAGCAGAAGGATCTAAATTCTGTTGGACTTGTGGAGGGGGGTTCATGCTGGGATTAGGAACGAATGGAGCTGTATGTGGATGCTCTGGCGAGAGTTTGACTCTTAAGGGTAGATGATGAGGGATTTGCTGACGAGGAGGTTGAGGCTGAGGATTAATGATTTTGGGCTTGGATTGGGAGGCCTGAGGCGCCTGGCGTTGAGGCTGCTTCTTACTGATGGAAGACTGGAAGTGAGAATTTCTGAGATTCTGGTTAGGTGAGTCCTTAGCTGTATAGATGGTTGGTTGTTGTTGGATGACCAGGGAAGGTGAAGTCGGCAATGCTGGGAACATTTCCTGATTTTCAATTTCAGATGCCTCAGTGTAAGTTTTTTGAGCAGATCCTAGATTTTTCACCGCTGAGTTTCGTGATCTTTGTTTGTAAAGATTTTGATATACTTCACAGCCTCTGTAGCTCGCAGAATGGGCTTCGCCACAAAGAGCTCATTTCGCTGGCTCATCTTTTGGCTTCTGGCAAGTGTCTGAAGCGTGTAGGCCGGCACATTTAACGCATCTGACTTCGTGATAACAATAGGCCTTTGTATGCCCCAAGTTTTGACACTTAGTGCATTGTACTATTAGAGGCTTCTGTTTCGGTTCCTCAAAATGGACTATTGAGTTAACTAATCTTTGAACCTGGAATATTTCAACATTGGTTTTGGCTGGTTCCAAGTCAATGAAAAATAATGGTAGCCGACATCTTTCCCTAGGATGTAGCACAGGTGCCTAACATTATGACCGATTTCTTCGAGGCCCGATTTGATAGCAGATATGGGTGTGGTTGAATGTAGTCCTCTCTGGACCACTCGATACACCTTTTCTTGTTTTAATTGATAACAATGGAAGTCGTAGCTATTGATTGTTAAAAATTGATCAGTTTTTTATTTTTGTCTCTAGAATTAGTATTGATTTTAATGTCGTTCACTCTCGAGTAACAGCAAAAATTTGGTTGTCCGATCAAATCTGCAATTTGTTGACCGAACGACATAAAGTTCTTAATTTTTGAAACAAATATTGTTGGCGGCTCTGGATCAGAAAAATCTTGAAGCTGCGGAGTCTTGTGAGATACGTTGTTTTCTGAAATTAAATTTTTGCTTTCGGATGTGTTTGGTGCAGTTGGCTCTGAATGAGTGGCATTAGATTTGCTCCTAGTTCTCGGTGGAGATTTATCTTGTTCTGCTTGCTTATTTGATTTTTTTTTTTTAGGTGAGTTTTGTCCCGATCCGGGAACTGAGTTTCGGAGACACTTTTGGAGTGTACGCCTTTTCACTTATTGCAAGTTGGTCTCGCTGATTTCCGAAAAGGGTGTCTCGTCTTCCGTGTCTTCAAATGATGTGTTCTTATCCAGATCCATGATAAGTGTTAGAGAAAAGAAAAAAAAGAAAAAAAAAATATATATAAACCTAAATATTAAAATTAAAATTTATGAGATAACTTCTTAAAAATTAAGCTATTTACAAAATTATTTACATAAATATATACAAATATAAAATAATTCATTTCCAAAAAATAAATAAGTTTTGATATTAACTTTACATCCCACAGCTTGTTGGTTTTATTCAAGTAACTCATTTAACTAAAATCCTACATGGCCTAGACTTCGTGCTTTGATACCTTGTTGATATTATTTTACTTTTAAGAATATAATCAAGGCCTGGATTATTATGCAATTGCATATCTTGTTTGCATATGTAGTTTTAAACTCAAATATCTATATAAATCAGTGTGCCCAGATGCAATTAGTCAAATTTTATATTGCATATTTTTATTATTTCAATTAAAATATAATAATAACAATTAGAAATAATGAATTATAATGGAACATTGAAGATGAAATTACATGATACAATTATAAGTTGATTTTATATAAAACAATTACTACAAAATAACTCTACCTTCAGTTATTGACTTCATAGAATATTGATTTTTCTCATTTCCTGGTTTATTATCTCCCCATATCATTCCTTTTAACTTTTTATCACTAGGCGCAGTTTCAATTTCTTACTTCTTTTATAAGTGGTTGTAGTTTTATAATCTTAAGTGCATCATATTCTTCAAAATTGAAATATTGGGTCGACCCTTATGATTCCAAAGACGAAACAGTTTTTAAAGCTTATTGATGAAAGATTCATTTTTATTTCCATCGTTCAAAATAAGTTTCCAT